GGTGGCACTTTGGGAGGCAGAGGCGGGAGGATTGCCTGAGCCCAAGGGTTCGAGACTGGCTAGGGCAACTTGGTGAGATCTCATCTCTACAATAAGAAAAAGAAAAAAGCTGGATGTGGTGGCACAGGCCATCACAGACACTTGGAAGGCTGAGGCAGAAGGATCACCTGAGCCCAGTGTGTCGAGGCTGCGGTGGCCATGAGTGTGCCACTGCACTCCAGCCTGGGCAACAGAGTGAGACTCCGACTCAAAATAAATAAAAATTAAAAATAAAAGGAATATTCTATCTTGTTATAAATACTGCATTGTAAGCTGCTTTTCCTGCTTAGCACTGTTTCAAGAACATTTTGCAATTATAATATGCAATGGAATCATAATTTTAAATTGCTGTATCGTTTATAGTATTGCGCTCAGCTATGCTTATTTAATTAGTCTCGCCTTTTTTTTTTTTGCATAAGCGAAGCTCCGAGAATCCATTCAGGCAGCAAGTGGAAAAACTGGCATTCAAACCTGCATCTCAGGCTCTCATTCTTCCACTGCAAGAAAGTGAAGTGCTCAAATATGGTCAGAGCCTTGCAGAAGTCTTGCACAAGTCTTGCACAAGGGCATCATAATAGCAACAAGGATGACTAATAAGTATTAATGGCCCATGACAAGAGAACAAATGCCATTAATTATCTTAATATATTAGACATCTTAGTAATGTTTGCACAGTATTATTCATGCAAATAGTATTAGCCTGTGTCAGGGGTAGTCGCTAGATCCAGCTTCACGCACACAGCTCAGCTTGCTGCTTCTCAGCCCAGATGTGCAGGGGCTTGAACTTGCAGGGCCCTGCCCCCTCAGAGCTCCGAGGAGCCAATCGACGCGCAGAAGGCGGGGCGCTAGGAGCGACAACAATACTGCCCAATGGGCCGGCGGGGGAGGCCGGCCGTGACCAATGAGTGCGCCCCTCCGCGATGGGCGGAAGTGGTGAGGCAGCTCTAGGGGCCGTTGTTCAGTGAGGGGGCTGACTGAGGCGGCTCGGTGTCTGTGGCTAGCGGCTCGGTTCGGCGTCCCTCCTGTCGTCCCAGGTGAGACGTAGCCTCTGCCCACGCCTGGGGAGCCTCCCGCGGCCTCCAATCTAGGAAGGGGCCGGCATCCCGAGGGAGGAGTGTGTGGGCGAGGGGACTGTAGGCCTGGGGTCGCGGCCGCGCGACGTTGTCTCCTCAAGCCACTGGAGGAGACCGCGCTTTCTCCTCAGGGAACTAGAGTCTCGGCAGCCCCCGGCTGCGCCGCCCCCTCCGCGGCCTTGGCCTGGGGACCGGGAAGCGGGCGTCGTCCTCAGCGCCGCTGTGGCCACCGCGCCCCGGGCGGAGCTGGGCCCGACGCCGGCCTGGGCTTGGAGCCACGGCCTGGAACTGCAGGCGTCGCGGGTCGCGTGTGGCCTAGTGCTGCCTCGAGGTCAAGGGATCGAGCCCCTGCTCTGCCCAGCTGGTGAGGCGGGTGACTGTCCCTGGAGACTTCCGCTTTCGCAGTCTCTGAAATGGGGGTGGTGACTTTGTCGTGGGATTGTGCTCGGGATTAAAAGATTGTCCGTGTAAGCGTCCGGCCGTGGACAAGCACAGGAAACGTTTCCTGCTGTCATTTGCGGAGCTGGTGCCCTGGCGGAGGGGGCGGCTGGAAGCCACCTGGGGGTCTAGACCGCGGTGCCGGCTCCCCGCCTCAGGCAGAACGACGGTCCCCTCTGCGTCCGCGGGAGATATGGCCGACCTCAAGGAGCCCCTTCTGAGGTCGGAGGCCTTTTCGTGCCCAAACCTCCGCGCGTTCACCGTTGACTCTTAGGACGGCCCTCCGAAGTTTTGTCAGTCGTCTGCCCGAGGCCCCCGAGGGGTGAAATCACGCGTGTACCGAGAGAGTGGCGGAAGCAGCCGGAACTGGACCCCCGGAGGGGCCGACTCCAACCCTGAGGGCGGCCCCCAATCCCCGTGCTGCCTGGCAAGGGAGCGCGCTCCTCCTCGTGGTTGGCCGCTTAGGGGCTGGAGTCAAGCCACTGTGCCCAGACCAGTCTGACGGCCCCGGGAAAGGGTCCAGGAAGGTGACTCGTTTTCCTAGATCGGTGCCTCCTCTCCCTAGGTGACACTTCACGTCGGAGTGGCTGTCTCGAGCCATGTCATTCCCGTTTAAACCCCTCCGTGGTTGCCATTGAGCTTGGACTCTAAGCCAGTAGCGCTCCTGTTCTGTATAGGACCTTCTGTAATGACTCATGCCCCTTTTCTGGATGTTCCTCCAGATCCACCTTTGCTTTCTCTTTCGTTGCCTCAGGCTCTTTGCTCTTCCTGCTGCCTGAGTGGGTGTTTCTCTTTTCCCCGATTTCTTTTTCTTGGCCTGACTGGCTCTTTGTACTTCAGGTCTTAGCTTAAATGTCATCTCCCCAGAAAGTTCTTCCCTGGCCACCCTGATCTAAAGTAGATTTCCTCCCTCCACTCCGTCCCGGTTTGTCTGTGTACTTTTCCACTTATATTCTTTTTAAAAATATATATCAATATTTTTTATTTTGATATTGTGGGGTACAGTTAAGGGTTAGGTATACAAATATGCTTTGTTCAGGCACCCTTGTTGATAAGGGCTTTTTCCCCATCCCCAGACAGATATTACTACCATTAATCCCACCTCCCTCCCCCCCCCCCCATAGTTTCCCATCACTGTCAGTCCTTTTCTTATAGTATTACGATGGATATTCAGGGTCCACTATATGAGTGAGAACATGTGATACTCAGATCTTTGTTTCTGTGAGAGGTCACTCAGTATCAGGCTCTAGTTCCATCCAGATTGCTGTGAAATTCATGAATTTGTTATTTTTTATGGCTGCGTAGTATTCCATTGTGTATATGTACCACATATATATATATTTTTTTGAGTTGGAGTCTCATTCTGTCGCCCAGACTGGAGTGGAGTGGCCACTCCCGGCCACTGCAGCCTCCACCTGCTGGGCTCCAGCAATCCTTCTGCCTCAACCTTCCAAGTAGCTGGAACTACAGGCGTGCACTACCACGCCCCACTAATTTTTTATTTATTGTCGAGGTGATGTCTCGCCAAGTTGCGCAGGTGGGTCTCGAACCCTTGGGCTCAGGCAACCCACTCACCTCACCCTCCCAAGGCACGGGATTACAGGCTGAGCCACTGAGCCCAGCTATGTACCACATTTTTAAAATCCAGTCCTCTTTTGATGGACAGCATGACTGATTTCAGGTTCTTGCTATTGTGAACAATGCTGCGATAAACATACGTGTGCAGGTATCTTTTTCATAGAGTGATTTGAGTTCTTCAGGGTATATTCCCAGTAGGGGGATTGTGGGGTCATATGGGAGGTCGATATTTAGAGCTTTTAGGAATCGCCACACTGTTTTCCACAGAGGTTGCGCTAGTTTGCACTCCCACCAACAGTGTAGAAGTGTTCCCTTTTCACCACACCCTCTCCAGCAGCTGTTATTTTTTGAGTTGTTGATAATTGCCATTCTGACTGGAGTTAGGTGGTATCTCAGTGTGGTTTTGATTTGCATCTCCTTGATGATTAGTGAGGTTTAACATTTCTTCATGTGTCTGTTGGCTGCTCAGATGTCTTCCTTTGAGAAGTGTCTGTTCATATCTTTTCCATTTATATTCTTGCCTTATGTTATTTATATTTTTTTTGCTTATTGTTTTTCTCAACCACTAAATTTCTCTGTTACATCAGACACTATATTTCTACCTCCCCACCCCCACCCAGCAGGTACTTTTTAATGGTTTTATAAATCAGACACTATATTTCTTTAGTTTGTGAAGTATTCTTAGTGCCAGAGCACAGCAGCACACAGTAAGGTCTTAATTAATAAACAAGCTAAATGAACAAATGAAAATGTGTTTTGAAAAGTAAATGTTAGCCGGGCTCGGTGGCTCAGTCTGTAATCCCAGCACTTTGGGAGGCTGAGGTGAGTGGATTGCCTGAGCCCACAGGTTCAAGACCTGCCTGGGCAACTTGGCAAGACCTCATTTCTACAATAAATCAAAAAAATTAGCCAGTCGTGGTAGCGCGCGCCTGTAGTTCCAACTACTTGGAAGGTTGAGGCGGAAGGATCGCCAGAACCCCAGCAGGTCGAGGTTGCGGTGGCCGGGAGCGGCCACTGCACTCCGGTCTGGGCAACAGAGTGAGACTCCAACTCAAAAAAAACCCAAAAACAAACAAACCAAAAAAAAGAAAAGTAAATGTTGGCAGAGGTGAGAGGATTGCCTGAGCCCACTGGTTGGAGAACAACCTGGGCAACTTGAGATCTCATCTCCACAATAAATTGAAAAATTAGCCAGGTGTGGTAGTGAGCGCCTGTAGTTCTGGCTACTTGGAAGGGTGAGGCAGAAGGATTGTCTGAGCCCAGTGGGTTGACACTGGGCTGGCCGTGAGTGTGCTCCTGCACTTCATCCTGGGTAATGGAGTGAGACTCCAACTCAAAACAATAAAATAAAATAAAAAGTGGACGTTGGCCGGGCTTGGTGGCTCAGCCTGTAATCCTGTACCTTGGGAGGCTAAGGTGAGTGGATTGCCTGAGCCCGTGGGTTCGAGACCCGCCTGGGCAACTTGGTGAGACCTCATCTCTACAATAAATAAAAAATTAGCCGGGCGTGGTAGCGCGCGCCTGTAGTTCCAGCTACTCGGAAGGCTGAGGCGGAAGGATCACTGGTGCCCAGCAGGTCGAGGCTGTGGTGGCCGGGAGCGGCCACTGCACTCCAGTCTGGGGGACAGAGCGAGACTCCAACTCAAAAAAAAAAAAAAAAAAAAGTGAATGTTGTTTTGATAATGGTTTAAAACCATTAAAAGGACCCTGCTAGGGCAGGATTTAAGATAATTTTTGCATTATGAAAGGAATAATCTAAACGAAATACTGGTAGAGAAGTTGCCAGTATTTTGCTTTCCGCATTGACATCTTGTTTAAAAAGCATTACGAACTTTATAGTGAAGAAACCTAGCAGACACCATCTCAACTATATGATCAGAGTTTTCATCAACAATGAAATAAGACTGTCGACATACTGTACCTTCTGACTCAGTGCACTGGGATGAGCACATCACTTCTGTGGTATTTTTGCCAAAAATGTGTAATCTGAATTTAATCAAGAGATACTATCAGACAAACCCCAAATGAAGGACATTATATAAAATAACTAGCCAGTATACTTAACACGATTGTGAAAGATAAAGACAAATGGAAGAACTACCGCAGATCACAGAAGATTAAGCAGAAGTGACAACTAAATGCAGTGTGTGATCCTGGGTTGAATACTGAACCAGAAAAGGGCATTGATGGGATGGCTGAAATAGTATTGTATTTCTGTTAATTTCCTATATCTGAGCATTTTATTGTAGTTACATTAACTTTTAGAGAAATTGGGTAGAGGATATAAGGGAGTTCTTTTTATTGTTTTTTGCAACTGTTTTTGAAAATAAATTATTTTAAATACAGAATTTAAAAATAAAAAGAAAACTCCAAGGGTGTTGAGTATTAAATAAGATGCTTTAATACACAGGTTTTGGTAACATTATCTGTACACTAGTTTGATTTTGTTTTGCATGTCATCCTTAAAGCAGAAATGAAATAGAACGTTCACATTTCTTCCTTTATAGTTTTCAGAAAGAGCTAAAGATGGCTGAATTTCTAGATGACCAGAATACTCGATTGTGTGACAACTGGTAAGAAATTAAATCTCAGAAATGTTATTGGAATGAGAACAAATTAACTTTTGTAAAGAATTGGTTTACTTATTGGCAAGTTAAATAAAATTGGACCCATATAGTATATGGTGGAAATAAGTAGGATTAGAGCTTTTATAACAATTTTGGAAAAACTGCCTGTTTTAGGAATTTGACAAGATGGTTAGTTTATGACAGAGTGACAGGGTGAGCCTGAGAGTCAGGACTCTGGTTCCTGCCCTTGATGACTTTTGGCAAGTCGCTTGACTACCTTGGGGCCTCATTTTCTTACCTATAAATAGATGAACTTATTTATTGTGTGTCTGGAAAATGTATGTTTTTTAAAAGATAATAATATAATAATATAAATGTTTGGACTAGATCAGTATTTTGTGTGTGTGTGTTTTGTTTTTTAAGTTGGAGTATTACTCTGTTGCCCAGACTGGAGTGCAGTGACGTGTTCATAGCTCACCGCAGCCTCAACCTCCCAGGCTCAGGCCATCCTTCAGCCTCAGTCTCCTAAGTATCTGGGACTACAGGCATTTGCTACCATGCCCAGCTAACTTTTTGTAAATCAGTGTTTTTCAAAGTATTATGCATGGATTTCTCTGAGTGGCCACGGTGATTGGTTTGATTGGGAGCAAAGTTTAGTTAGCTTGACTCTGCATATAGTGACCGAGCAGTTCAACCACAGGAGCCCAGTCTTAACTCTTTCTATAAAGGATTTTGCTGCTTTAAAAAAAAGGACTAGTTAAATTCTTAAGACAGTTGAGCTTAATTATTATCATTTCATGATTCTAAAACTCTTAGTGAAGACTGGGAAGACTGGGTACAGCCTTAAATGTTAAGCTTTCTATTTTGATGTTTTGAACTCCCATCAGTTACAAGAAAGCAACTTTTTCCTGGTAAAATGAAACTTAGGCTACAATGAATAATCAGTTGCTTCCTGGTGGGGATTTCTCAAAAACTTAATCTTGCTATTTTGGTGATATACGAGTATTCTTACTGTAAGATAAAGAAAAAAAAGCAGAGCTATCTGTGGTATGTTCAACTTAGCAAATTGTGGTAGGAGAGAGATGTTGAATAAAGGAAAAAGTTTGACACATTGGTGAAAGGTTTGAGCCAAATAACAATTTTTCTTTTTGTTGTTGTTGCCTTTTTCTTTCTACTCAGCCTAACTTTGGCAGAACTAGGATATAATTAGAGCAGCTACTGTTTACAATATTCTTTACCTGCATGGAATTAAGATTTCATCTTATTGAGGTTATCTTGCCTTATAAGGGTATTGCTTTCTATTATGCCACTGCTACTTTCTGCTGCTACATAAACTACTTTAGCTTTGAGGTTTTTTTTGAGTCAGGGTCTCACTCTATCACCTAGGCTGGAGTGCAGTGGCACGCTCACGGACACTGCAGCCTCGACCTCCTGGGCTTAGGCAATCTTTCCGCCTCAGCCTACCAAAGTAGGTGGAGCTATTGGAACGAGCCATCACGTCTGGCTAATTTTTTGATTTATTGTAGAGACAAGGTCTTACCAAATTGTCCAGGCTGGTCTTGAACCCCTGGGCTCAGGCAGTCCACTTGCCTTGGCCTCCCAAAGTGCTGGAATTACAGGCTTGAGCCCCCATGCCTGACCCTGTTTGACTTTTATATGTATAGTTACAGACACAAAATAATCAGTGAAGCAATCATAAAAAGTATGATTTTTATACACAAAAACAGATGTATTCTTTTTTTTTTTTTTTGAGTTGGAGTCTCACTCTGTCAACCAGGCTGGAGTGCAGTGGCATGCTCACGGCCACCACAGCCTCAACCTGCTGGGCTGAGGTGATCCTTCAGCCTCAGCCTTCCAAGTAGCTAGAACTACAGGCACGTGCTACCACATCTGGCTAATTTTTTGAATAATTGTAGAGATCCTCGCCAAGTTGCCCAGGCTGGTCTCGAACTCATGGGCTCAGGCAATCCTTTCACCTCAGCTTCCCTAAGTGCTGGGATTATAGACATGAGCTACTGTGCCTGGCCAGATGTATTCATTTTTAAGATTTATCTGTTTTGTTAGTTTACTGCAATTTGAAGGAATCTCAAACCTAGGACAATATATAAATAGCTATGCTAAGGGAGTTAGAAAGGGTGAGTTAATAGAAAGGTAATGAGAATAAGGTTATTAAAAGCCAAAGCAATTTATTTTTTAAAAAAAGCCTGGGCACAGTGACTCAGTCTGTAATCCCAGCACTTTTGGAGGCCGAGGTGAGAGGATTGCCTGAGCCCAGGGGTTCAAGACCAGCCTGGGCAACTTGGCGAGACCTCATCTCTATAATGATATAAAAAAATAAGCCGGGTGTGATAGCACACACTGGTGGTTCCAACTACTTGGAAGGCTGAGGTGGAAGGCTTGCCTGAGCCCAGCAGGTTAAAGCTGTAGTGGCCGTGAGAGTGCCATTGCACTCCAGCCTGGCAGCAGAGTGAGACTCCAACTCAAAAAGAAAAGCAGATTAGCATGGAAGACTGACTAAGCCTGTATAGACCTCCCATCTAAGTAACTCTGTTTAAGTTTCAGGTTTAAACATTTTGTTGCTGGGCATGGTGGCTCAAGCCTGTAATCCCAGCACTTCGGGAGGTAGAAGTGAGAGGATAACCTGAGCCCAGGGTTCTAGACCAGCCTGGGCAACTTAATGAGACCTCATCTCTACAATAAATAAAAAAATCAGCTGGACACGGTGGCGTATTCCTGTAATTCCAGCTACTCTGAAGGCTGAGGCTGAAGGATTGCTTGAGCCCACCAGGTCGAGGCTGTGGTGGCTGTGAGTGTGCCACTGCCCTCCAGCCTGGGTGACAGAGTGAGACTCTGACTCGAATAAATAAATAATTAAACAAAGATTTTGCCTTTAGAGCCATTTTTTTCCATCGATTCTCACTCTGTCACTAAGGCTGGAGTGCAGTGGCACACTCATAGCCACCGCAGCCTCTACCTTATGGGTTCAGGCAGGCGATCCTTCTGCTTCAGCCTTCTGAGTAGCTGGGACTACAGGCATGTACCATCATGCCCATCTTATTTTTTGATTTATTGTAGAGATGAGGTCTTGCGAAGTTGCCCAGGCTGGTCTTGAACCCCTGGGTTTAGGCAATCCTCTCACCTTCCCCTCCAAAGTGCTGGGATTACAGGGGTGAGCCACCATGCCTGGGCCAGCTCTGACTCTGAGAAAGAAAGGCAGGCTTTTAGAGGTGGTGCATGGCACTGATAACTCAGATTGTTGCACATAAGACTCAGACTTCAGAATTTAGTTCCTGAAAAGCAGAGTTGGTAACAGTCATAAGAGTTTGTAGATTAGGTCTCACACTAAAGTGAAATAATGGACTGAAGATTGGACAGGACAGATTTCCATGTGATACCACTGTGCAAGAAAATGCTTAGATCAGTCAATAATACTTGTCTTTTTTTTTTTTTTGGTCTATTTCTGTAGCAAAAAAGAAATTCCTGTGTTTAACTTTACTATCCATGAGATCCACTGTCAAAGAAACATTGGTGTGTGTCCTCTCTGCAAGGAACCATTTCCCAAATCTGACATGGAGACTCACATGGCTACAGAACACTGTCAGGTGAACCACCAAGTACCCAACTCTTCATAAATGTATTATACTTGCTATTGTGCAGTAGCAAATGAGCATGTTGTCACAAAGCCAATTTATTGATTCTCACTTCTTACCCTAGGTGATCTGCAAATGTAACAAGAAGTTGGAGAAGAGGCAGTTAAAGAAACATGAGGTTAGTCTTCTTGCACTATGAAGGGAGTGAGTTACTGTGGGGCCAGTCCTATTGAGATTACAGAAACACACGCAGAGCAGGAAGCCAGTGGGTTGAGTCTTTGTTCTCCACCAGCTCACATGCATACTGCCTCTCACAGCTTAATTGAGGCTTTGACTGTTTGACTGCTGTCAGATTTGGCTGTCTGGTTGTTGTACCCCATGCTCAGGCATCAGAGTCTCTCCCTTTGGAACTGAGTCTATCATTTCTGCTGGGGTTTGGCTATTGGCAGCCTCACTGAGCATGAACTCATGCAGGGATTGCCAGTGTGGGATAATCTCTTTAGCACACAGCCTACTTTACATCTTGTAACTTCGTTTTGAATTCTTGATCATTTGGATGACATACTCTTTATACCTGAAGAAATCCCTCAGCATTTACTATAAGAGAACAGGGTATTATTTGGTCCTTAGTTGAGATAAAATTGGCAAAGTTGAGTTGTTTTTTTTTTGAGTTGGAGTCTTACTCTGCCACCCAGGCTGGAATGCAATGGCACACTCACGGCCACTGCGACCCTGACCTGCTGGGCTCAGGTGGTCCTTCTGCCTCAGCCTTCTAAGTAGCTGGAACCTACATGCACGTGCTACTATCTATGCCCAGCTATTTTTTTGATTTATTGTAGGGATGAGGTCTCACCAAATTGCCCAGGCTGATCTCGAACCTGTGAGTTCAGACATTCCTTTCACCTTGGCCTCCCAAAGTATTGGGATTATAGGTGTGAGCCACCACGCTCAGCATGTTGTTTTACTAGTTTGAAAATTCCTAATAACTATTTAGGTGTATGCACCAAGGTTTACATTTAAGACTTTCACCAAGGTTTACATTTAAGACTTGTGCTTCATTCTGTATACCTCAAATAACAAGTTAATTCCTGGCTGGGTGCAATGGCTCAGCCTGTAACACCAGCACTTTGGGAGGCTGAGGCTAGAAGATTACCTGAGCCCATTGGTTTGAGATCAGCCTGGGTAAGATGGTGAGACCTTGTCTCTACAATAAGTCAAAAAATCAGCTGGGTGTGGTGGCGCATGCCTGTAGTTCCATCTACTTGGAAGTCTGAGGCGGAAGGGTCGCCTAAGCCCAGCAAGTCGAGGCTGCAGTGGCTGTGAGCGTGCCATTGCACTCCAGCCTGAATAACAAGAGTGAGACTCCAACTCAGAAAAAATGTTAATTACTATTACTTTATAATTAAAATACCCTTAAAAGGTGATTCATATTTAATGTAGAAAATTTGGGATATATAAAAAGAAAGTAAGAACCACCCATAAACCCACAGCTCAGAGAAAAACAAATACCTTAGCACTCTATTATTTTGTTCTAAGCATTTGATGTACATTTTACTAGACCTTACCAGCCAGGGGGTATGATTGAGGTCACATTAACAATATAATGAGTCTTTCTCTGGCTCTAGTACCTACTTGCTCTGTAAAACAGCTTCTAATATTCATCCGGGTCTGTAATCCCAGCACTTTGGGAGACTGAGGTGAGAGGATTGCCTGAGTTCAGGGGCTGGAGACCAGCCTGGGCAACTTGGTGAGACCTTGTCTCTGCAATTAAAAAAAACAAAAACAAAAAACAACCTCTAATAAACTATCCCCTCTCCTAGTCTCTCTCCCAGCTATTTCTGGGAATCCTGTGGTGATATACCAATCATTATAAAGGTACAAGTACAAAGTGTTCCCTAACATTCCTACAAGTCAGACTGTGACAATTTTAGACCAGAGATAAATTGTGTAGTTTTATGTTTTTTCTTTAATAGTTATTACTTTATTTGCTGTTCTATGAATTACTAGCACTTTTTGGAGTTGTTAGCAAAGTACTTAATGTAAAATTTTTTTTTTTGAGTTGGAGTCTCACTCTGTCACCCAGACTGGAGTGCAGTGGCATGCTCATGGCCACCGCAGCCTCAACTTACTAGACTCAGGTGATCCTTTTGCCTCAGCCTTCCAAGTAGCTGGGACTATAGGTGCATGCTACCATACCCGGCTTATCTTTTGATTTATTGTAGAGACAAGGTCTCACAAAGTTGCTCAGGCTGGTCTCTAACCCTGAGCTCAGGCAATCCTCTTGCCTCTGCCTCCCAAAGTGTTGGGATTACAGACTTTAGCCACCACGCCCAACTACTTACTGTATTATATTGTATGTGCCAGTAATTATTTGTTCTTTTTTATTGAATAACTTAAATCAGTGATTTTTTTTTTCTAATGAAAAAGATGTTTAAGTCCGGGTACAGGAATGTGCCACTGCACTGCAGCCAGGGCAACAGAGTGAGACTCCAATTTGAAAAAAAAGAAGGAGAAAAAACCGTTTAAAGAACACTTTCCGGGCTGGGTACAGTAGCTTATGCCTATAATTCCAGCACTTTGGGAGGTTGAGGCAGGAGGATTACTTGAGCCCAGGAGTTTGAGACTAGCCTGGGCAACATAGCAAGACCTCATCTCTACAAAAAATCAAAGAATAAGCCAGGCCCATGGTGGCACACATCTGTTGTCTCAGCTACTCAGGAGGCTGAGGCAGAAGGATCACATGAGCCCAGGAGGTCAAGGCTGCATTGAGCTGTGATTGTGCCTCACTACACTCCAGTCTGGGTGACAGAGTCAGACCCCCAACTCAAAAAAAAAAAAAAACCTTTCTGAATTGTTATTCTATCTACATGGTATACATTTTAAAGCCACAAAAGGATATATGTAAAAATTGTGTCTCTTCATTCCTGTTGCTCAGCTATTTAGGCCCTTTTTTTTTTTTTAATCAGTTTATTGTGTTTCCTGCAAGAGACATTTCATGAATATATAAACAGTGGTAAATGTTTGGAGTAGCATTTAGAATAGAACTTGATTTTAATTTATATGAAAAGAAACGTGTTTTTTTGCATAGTGTTTGTAAAGTATAAATGTATATGTCATGGTAATATATTCTTTTATATCTTTTGTTTTTTGAGTCAGAGTCTTACTCTGTTGCCCAGGCTGGAGTGCAGTGACACACTCACGGCCACTGCAGCCTCGACCAGAGTCTCACTCCGTCACTCAGACTGGAGTGCAGTGGCACACTCATGGCCACTGCCAGCTTCCACCTGCCTGAGCCTTACAAGTAGCTGGAACCACAGGCATGTACTACCACCATGCCTGGCTAATTTTTAAAAAATTTATTGTAGAGACGAGGTCTCGTCAAGTTGCCCAGGCTAGTCTTGAGCCCCTGAGCTCAGGCTATCCTCTCACCTTGGCCTCCAAAGTGCTGGGATTATAGGCGTGAGCTACAGTGCCTGGCCCCTTTGTATCTTTCTAAGTTTTTAGTGCATTAGTGACAATTTCCAATTAGGTATAAAGGTTTTGTTTTTCATTTACTGTGTTTACACTTTTGGGATCATTGTCATTGGTGATTTTTGGCTTATTTGGTCCATTTAAAGCCTGTGCTTGATCACTTGAGCCCAGCGAGTCGAGGCTGCAGTGGCCATGAGCATGCCACTACACTCCAGCCTGGGCAACAGAGTGAGAGGCTTTGACTCAAAAACAAAGCATAACAATAGCCTGTGCTTTATATAAATATGAAGTTTTAAAAAGTTAGTCTTTCTAAAGGGCAGTCTCTTTTCCTAATTACTAGCTACTGAAGACTGAATTGGGCCGGATGTGGTGGCTCATGCCTGTAATCCTAGCACTTTGGAAGGTGAAGGTGAGAGGATTGCCTGAGTCCAGGGATTCTAGACCAGCCTGAGCAACTTGGTGAGACCATGTCTCTACAATAAATCTAAAAATGCCAGGCACGGTGGTTCACACCTATAATCCCAACACTTTGGGAGGCAGAGGTGAGAGGAATGCCTGAGTCCAGGGGTTCAAAACCAGTCTGGGCAACTTGGGAAGACCTCGTCTCTACAATAAATAAAAAATTAGCTGGGTGTGGTAGTGCGCGCCTGTAGATCCCGCTACTTGGAAGGCTGAGATGGAAGGATCGCCTGAGCCTAGCACATCTGCATAGTGGTGGCCATGAGCAGGCCACTGCACTCCAGCCTGGGAGACAGAGTGAGGCTTCAACTCAGAAAAAAAAAAATGAGAAAACTAGCCAGATGTGGTGGTGTGTACCTGTAGTTCCAGCTACTTGGAAGGAAGGCTGAGGTGGTAGGATCACCTGAACCCCAGTGTTACCCAGCTAGGTCAAGGCTGCGGTGGCTGTAATTGTGCCACTGCACTCTAACTTGGGCAACAAAGTGAGACTCCAACTCAAAAAAAAAAAAAGACTGAATTGGGAGTAGGAGTTAGGGGAAACTGGTGGAGCTTTGACAGACATAGCTGAATTGCTCTGTTTCTTAAATTGCTTCAGGGCTTCTCTGGCTGATTTTGGATTACTTTATAATACGTATACAAAATGATATGGTAGTCAGGGTGGCTGAGTATATAGATGCCTTCTAATATTTTCCTTCCCTCTGTAGAATCTTGTGGCAGGAAGAAAAGAGGAAGCTGTGACTTTTTTTTTTTTTTTTTGAGTTGGAGTCTCACTCTGTCCTCTAGGCTGGAGTGCGTGGCATGCTCACAGCTACCGCAGGCTCGACCTGCTGTGCTCAGGTGATCCTTCCGCCTCAGCCTTCTAAGTAGCTGGAGCCACAGGCATGTGCCACTATGCTCAGCTAATTTTTTCTTTTATTTATTGTAGAGACGAGGTCTCGTCAAGTTGTCCAGGATAGTCTGGAACTCCTGAACTCAGGCAGTCCTCTCACCTCCACCTCCCAAAGTGCTGGGATTACAGGCATGAGCCACTGACTGTATGACTTAAATACAAAGAAAGCAAGGCAGAGGAAGCTAGGCTTGGAAGAAAAGACTGAAATAGATACTTTTTGTTTTACTTGCCTTGTGCTAAAACACAGCCTCTCCTAGATGTGCATATTAACTGCCTCATTTTTCTGTGTTGCAGGAGACTGAGTGCCCTCTGCGACTTGCTCTCTGCCAGCACTGTGATTTGGAACTTTCCATTCTCAAACTGAAGGAACATGAAGATTACTGTGGTGCCCGGACAGAGCTATGTGGCAACTGTGGGCGAAATGTCCTTGTGAAAGATCTGAAGACTCACCCTGAAGTTTGTGGGAGAGAGGGCGAGGAAAAGAGAAATGAGATTGCCATACCTTCTAATGCATATGATGAGTCTTGGGGTCAAGATGGAGTCTGGATTGCATCCCAACTCCTGAGACAAATTGAGGCTCTGGACACCCCCCGAAGGCCCATGGGAGCCTTTGAATCAGACCTTTTCCACAGTAATAGGATTATCAGCCAAAGGAACATGACAGCCCAGTTTCCAGTTCAGAATAATTTATGTGAGTTGTGTTTGGGATTAGGAAACTAGAATGGTATTAAAATCCCGGGGCAAGCCGGGCTCGGTGGCTCAGCCTGTAATCCCGTGATTTGTGAAGCTGTGAGTGAATTGCCTGAGCCCATGGGGTTCAAGACCCGCCTGGGCAACTTGGCGAGACCTCATCTCTACAATAAATTAAAAAATTAGCTGGACGTGATAGTGCGTGCCTGTAGTTCCAGCTATTTGGAAGGCTGAGACGAAAGGATCGCCGGAGCCCAGCAGGTCGAGGCTGCGGTGGCCGGGAGTGGCCACTGCACTCCAGTCTGGGCGACAGAGTGAGACTCCAACTCAAAAAAAAACAAAAAACAAAAAACCCCAGGGCAAATGGGAAGAGCTTTCGTGGTCAGATAGATCTTGATTCTAGAAACCTGACTGTAGCTGGGTAACATTGGGAAGAATACCTAACATCTTTATAAAATGGAAATAACAGAAACTCCTGACTACTGAATTGTAGTTAGGGTTAATAATGAGGGGGATGACAATGGTATAAGTAGCTAACACCAATACCGGTTGAGTATCCTTTATCTGAAATGCTTGAGACTATTTTGTTTGGATTTTGGAATATTTGCATTACTTACCAGTTGAGCCTCTCATGTATGCAAATTTGAAATCCAAAATGCTCATTGGAACTTTTCTTTTCATTGTCAAGATGGCATTCAAAAAATTAGGAATTTTGGAGCATTTTGGATTTTGGGATTTGGTATGCTCAACCTGTACCTTATGTGCCTCAGGCATTTGCAAAGTGCTTTATTTGTATTAACTCATTTCATTTTCACAATGAGTCAGGCGTGGTGGCTCAGCCTGTAATCCCAGTGCTTTGGGAGGCTGAGAGGTGAGTGGATTGCCTAAGCCTGGGCAACTTGGCAAGACCTCATCTCTACAATAAATCAAAAATTAGCTGGGCGTGGTAGCGCGCGCCTGTAATTCCAGCTACCTGAGGCGGAAGGATTGCCAGAGCCCAGCAGGTTGAGGCTGCGGTGGCCAGGAGCATGCTACTGCACTCCAGTCTGGGTGACAGAGTGAGACTCCAACTCAAAAAAAAAAAATGTTTTTTCACAAGATTACATGGTAGGTAAATGGTGAACTGAGTTTTGAATTCAGATAATCTCACCTCATGCTTTAAACCATTCTATTATAATGCAGAAAATAGATGAAAAATGTATAGTACATAGCGGGGCGTGGTGGCTCAAGGAGGTGAGGTGGAGGTGAGAGGATTGCCTAAGTCCAGGGTTTCGAGACCAGCCCGGGCAACATGGTGAGACCTGTCTCTACAATCAGTCAATCAGTTAACTAACTAACTAACTAGCTGGGCATGGTGGCATACACCTGTAGTTCCAGCTACTTGGAAGTCTGAGGCAGAAGGATTGCCTGAGCTTAGTGAGCTGAAGCTGTGGTGGCCGTGAGCATGCTACTGTACTCCAGTCTGGGCAACAGATTAAGACTGACTCAAAAATAAAAAATAAAATAATAATAAGTGTATAGCACATGCCTGTCTCACAGCTATGGCTCAGTAATACTTTTTTTTTTTTTGAGTTGAAGTCTCACCCTGTCGTCCAGGCTGGAGTGCAGTGGGACACTCATAGTCACTGCAGCCTCAACCTATTGGGCTTAGGCATCCTTTCACCTCAGCCTTCTAAGTAGCTGGAACTACAAGCGCACACTACCACGCCTGGCTATTTTTTTTTGATTTATTGTAGAGGTAGACTAAGTGTTCAGAGAGCTGTGAGAACCAGAGGGCCAAGAGTGCTGATGGAGCAGGGCCATTTTTGTTCCTGCCCCGGTGCCTATAAACCTTGGCTATTTGTTAGGCATGCACTTGAGTTGAGGGTGGCAACATCTCTAATACATCTTGAGTGCTGGTTGTTTTTTTTTCCAGTTGAAGAACAAGAAAGACAGGAAAGGAATAGAGGCCGACAGCCCCACAAAAAGGGTGGTGAAGATAGTGCAAACTTGGACTTCATGTTGGCCCTAAGTCTGCAAAATGAAGGCCAGGCCTCCAGTATGGCAGAGCAGGACTTCTGGAAAGCTGTGTGTGAGGCAGACCAGTCTCATGGCGGTCCCAGTTCTCTGAGGGACATAAAAGGTAGGTTTACTTATTCTTCACTTTCTGTATGGTTTTTCTAAGTTTTAGAATACACAATAATGAAATAGAATTTGCCTTATTCTTTTTTGTTTGTTGCTTTTTCCATTTCTTATTTTAAAAAATTGTCAGAATAGTATAGCAAGTACCTATATAGCCCTGGTCTACATTCACTAATTTTAATATTTCTTTACTTTCACCTTTATGTAGATTTCTCCCCCAACCATTTGAGCATAAGTTTGTATACATACTTTTTTTTTTTTTTTTTTAGTTGGAGTCTCACTTTGTTGCCCAGGCTGGAGTGTAGTTGCATGCTAGCAGCCACTGCAGCCTTGACCTGCTGGGCTCAGGTGATCATTCCATCTCAGCCTTCCAAGTAGCTGGAGCTACAGGTGTGCGCCACCACACTCAGCTAATTTTTTGATTTATTGTAGAGATAAGGTTTTATCTTGTTGCTCAGGCAGTCCTCTAGCCTCCACCTCCCAAAGTGTTGGGATTGCAGGCGTGAGCCACCACGCCCAATACGCAATGTTTTATTCTTAAATACTTCAGCACATGTCTGTTAAGAACAAGGCCACCTGCTATGTAAACACTATACATATGTCACTCTCAGATAAGTTCCCTACTTGCATATAATGTCCTTTAGAGCTTTTTTGGTTTTAAGAATCCAAGATTGCTGGGCTCGGTGGCTCAGCCTGTAATCCTGCGCTTTTGGGAGGCTGAGGTGAGTGGATTGCCTGAGCCCGTGGGTTCGAGACCCGCCTGGACAGCGAGACCTCATCTCTACAATATATCCAAAAATCAGCCGGGCGTGGTGATCATTCCGCCTCAGCCTTCCAAGTAGCTGGAATTACAGGCATGCGCTACCACGCCTGGCTAATTTTTTGACTTATTGTAGAGATGAGGTCTC